GGGCTTACTGTACAAAAAGCCAATATAGGCAGGTCATTGCTTTACAAAAGGGTTTAAATATTTCTGTGCTGCCTGCCACCCAGTACTGCACAAGATCTTTGAACTGTCAGATGGAAGGCCTCATCAGTTAAGGACAACAGATTTCAAAGAAAGGTGATAAATTGGGGGGGGGGGGGGGGCTTTTTATTGTTACTATTCTATGAAGAGCCACCAGTGCATTATTCACCGATATTATGAAATGAATGCAAAGATAGCTACTGACATAAAATGATGGACAAAGAATGGATCTGCCATGCTGAGCAAAGCAAGAGGGTTCAGTGTTGCCAATGTGTGTTGTGCTATAACAATATGCTTTTTAGATCTCAAAGAATGTTTGTATTTGGATGCTGTGTATTGAGGTGGGAGGAGTGCTCAGTTCTGAAGAACTCTTCCATTATCAACCCTTCCTCCTCCCCACCCCTTGACAATTCACACCCCTATATTTAAAATGAATTGTTTGTCACCTCATCCATTTTTGTTCAGCTTTTTTGCCTTTTCTCTCAGTTGCAGTTATGCTTTCACATCAGAAGCTGTAATATAGAGTAGTTGGATGCTTTTATCTTTATTATCTCTGTACTTCAGCAGCCTTTTCGACTGCCTTAGATATTACTAGATTTGACTAGAAAACACCATTACTGGATACTGCAAGTGCATGTTCCTCTTCAGGCTCAGGAACTGTTGCTTGAACTTTTACACTTTGGCAGTGGTGAAAATCTCTGTTAGGGTCCTAGGCATGCCCAGGGGACTCCTCTACCCAAGCAAGAGTTCTTTTTTACAGCAGTATCAAGCTGAAATAAGACAATGTTGCAACAGCAAGTGCTCTTAAACTTAGACCCAACTAAAGATATGTTTCCCCCCTGGATCAAAGCAAATACATTTAACTCCCCCCCCCCCTTTTAAGTGGACAGTTGATTCTTATGCAATATTACATACTGTTCCAAAAGAGGATTGTCTTTGGCATAAGGAGCTATTTGCTAATTTTAAACCTGTTCTTATCTAGATCCAGCCAACATACTGAATTTCTGAGTTTTCGAAAGCAACTCCACGTACAATACATTGTACCAGTCCTATTGAAATATTGCCAGGGCATGGATAGCTATGGTCTGGCTCTCACTGTCCAGGAAGGGTCAGCTGGCAACCAAGCCACAGCCAGTGAAATGCAGCATGTGTCAGTCAGAACTTAGGTGTATATCACTAGTGCTGTTCCTATAAGCACGCACAAAATGGAAACATGATTCTTATGGACACATGTAGGAAGCCTGTGGGGCAGTTGCACTCGATGTGTGATCTCTCCTTGAATGTATCTCCACCCCAAAAAAAACAAAACAAACAAAAAACTGGCTATGGAGTGGAGAAAGAGTGGAGCAGGGCAAGATTTTCTCAATTTCTGTGTTCACTTCTGTAGTCTTTTTTTAGGCTGAGCTTGGTTGTCCAATGCCAGTCTTGAGAGACACTGCTTCCATTTCCTTCCTCTCCTCTGGGCTTTTCCAGGCTGTCAATTGGCAGCTTGGGTGCCAATCAACTCCATAGAGTAGAAGAAAGAAGTGGAAAAGAGCAACATTTCATTTTTTTACCCATTGCCTCTTATGGTTCTTTCCAGGCAGAGGATTGAAGAAATTAATCTAAGGAGGAGGGACAAAGGCAGCGTCACCGTCCAGTTTACGGGCGGTCGAAGTCCCGGCTGTGGATGCTGGGACCGGGGGCAAGATGGCGGGGTGGGAGCAGGAACGGGAGTCCGGAATCCAGGAGTCCGGAAGTTGAGGGTCCGAGAGCTGGGAGTCAAGAAGCCAAGGGTCCGAGGATCAGGAAGCAAGGAGTCAAGAAGCCAAATGCAGCAAGGCAGGAAGCGTGTTTGTGATGGCCTGGGAATCCGATTCAGAAGCCGAATTGGAGGAACTCCAGCCTGCACAGGAGTCCCCGCCTCCAGGGCCAGCTGAACTGGGGCAGGGCCTTGACTCTGAGGCACCTGCACCTGTGCCGGATCCTCAGGAGCAGGCACCAGGTGAATCTAGTCTGGCTCCTGAGGGGATTGAGGACACATTGCCTACAGGTGCGCCTCTCCCAGCCCTGTCAGGGGAAGGCGAGCCTCCCCCTGGGTCCAGTAACCCTCCAGCCTCTCCTGAGCTGCAGAGGCTCAGGGCAGAGAGGCGGAGGGAACTGGTTTCTCCCAGGAGGAGTGCTCGCCTTAAGGCCAGAAGAGGTGGGTCACCTGGGGGCCGGGACCACCCCTGGCCTCAGAGAAGATAAAGGCCAGTCAGCCTGGTCCCAGGTTGCGGGAGCAACGTCGTTGAAGAGCTGTTTCGGCCAGCACCCAGACCTGTTCCTCCAGAGTTCCCATCCTTGCCCGGCTCCTCGCTTCAGACCCCGCCTCCCCCGTGGAGGACAGTCTACAGACCCTCGACCCAGGTCCTGGACCTCGCCCCACGGTAACCTCCCCCCGGGACCAGCACAGTGTTGCTGTGGTAAAGAGCCAAAGGGAAATGCTGACCTTATATCCCTTCCCGGCTCTTGCCACCAGGTGCTGTGAGTCACCAATTGGCCTCACCTGTGCGGCTGTGCCTTGCCTCTTCAGAACAAACTTAGGAAAGCCCCCGTCCTGTGAAGCCCTACCGGTCACAGGGCCTGTCTCCTGCACACACTCCTGACAGGCAGGAACAAACTGTCAGTGTGTATGGGTTCCACAGGAAAACTAGTGTTGGACAGTCATCTTCTAGCACCTCCTTAGGAACTGACCATCCTAAGAAAGAGTGAGACCACCGAACACATGGTGGAATTCAGTGTTTCACTCTTCCAACGATCCTTTCTGACCAAGCATTTCAGCCTCCAGATGGAATGACGCAGCTCCTCCTCCTCCCATGAACTGTTCCGAGGGGTTCTCCTGACCCCTATGAACGAATGACGAGGCAGTGGGGAAACCCCATTGCACAATCAGAAGTCCTAGCACAGGGCTTTCACTGATGGGCCTGATTAGGTGAATCCCACCCATAGTACCCCCAATGCATAGAAATCACTCCAGAAGAATACCAGGGTACCAAAGCCACAGAGAGGCTTAGGAGAGTGTGCAGGATCATACACTTCTGGCTTTTTCCTGGCATATGTCATCTGTTAGGAAGACCAAGCATTTTCTGTGCCAAAAACAGCCCTAAAACAAGATGGAAATGAATCCAGAAAATCAGTTTCACTCAAGAGTAGCTGAATGTCACTCTTGGGCACGCCCTCTCTCAAATACCCTGCCCCAAAAGGGAATATTATGAAATGTTGCCCAAGAATCTTACCTTATGCCTCTCATATTTCACACTATATCTTCTGAGTTCACACACAAAGTCATGATTGTTTGCAAACATTTATTTAAATAATCCCGTAAGGGTTCGGAATAATTGAAATTGATTTTGACATGTTGACACAAGGGACTGGGTCCTGTTAGATCTTAAGTGACTCCTGGGATGTGAAAAGAATCCTCAATTCCCAGCGAAGCTAATAGGAATTTCAAAGTTGCTCATCTTTTCCCTGGATGCTTTAGTACTTCAGAACATCAGACCTTAAATAATTGCATTGCAGTATCAAATATATCTGCGTGATAGACTCATTTCCTTTGCTGACCTATATTTGCTGTTGAAGATGAAACTTTCTGCACTGAAAATTGCTGTGATTTATTTGTATGCCACCCAGCACCACTCCCGCTCTCTTCTATTGTACTTAGAATTAAATGCAATTTATGGTGTGTTCATGTGCCCTTTCATTAATTAAAAGCAAATATTAACACTTCAAACTTGGGCATGGGAAGCAAGGCTTCTCGTGGAATTTTAAAGCATTTATTATAGCTACTTGAAAATAGCTGGTATGCTTGCAGAGTGCAGATGGGGAACTTGTGGTCCTCCAGATGTTGCAGGACTAAAATGCCACCATCCTTGACCGTGGACCATGCTGACTGGAGCTGATGGGAGTTGGAATCCAACAATATATTGAAGACCACAGGTTCCGTACCCCTGATCTAGAGATGGATGGTCAAGTCTTCTTTCAGCACAGCATACGATATGATACGATACGATACAATATCTTTATTGTCATTGTCCCATACAGAACAATGAAATTGAAAAACTACATAAAACATTCAAAAACCCCTAAAAACTCTGAAACCCCATTTTAAAATACACTATACTATACTATACTATACTATAGTACAGCCGTGATCAATCTCTTCTATGACTGTTTAAATGTAACCTGCAAATGAAATCCAGATATACAGTTTCATTTGCTTATTTTCAACCCTTGTTTGCATGCATCACTCCTCTCTTCCATGTTTACATTTAGATCCCCAGATCCTTAGAGTCAGAGATCCAGGCACATATACGAGCATGGAAGGTCTAAGTATTTTTGCTGCTCAGCATGCAACAGCCCAAACACTTCAGGACAAAACAAAACAATGCAAAAGCAAAAGAGCAAATCCTCAAATTGGTACTGGAAAATGAATCTCTAGTAGGAATGTAGGGAGCTGCCTTATGCCAATTCAGGCCATTGGTCCATCCAGCTCAGTATTGTCTGCAATACAATACTTTGCCTCGGTCCAGTATATCTGAAGGAGCGTCTCCACCCCCATCGTTCTACCCGGACACTGAGGTCCAGTGCCGAGGGCCTTCTGGCAGTTCCCTTGCTGCGAGAAGCCAAGTTACAGGGAACCAGGCAGAGGGCCTTCTTGGTAGTGGCACCCGCCCTGTGGAACACCCTCCCACCAGATTCCAAAGAGAACAACTACCAGACTTTTAGAAGACATCTGAAGGCAGCCCTGTTTAGGGAAGCTTTTAATGTTTGATGTATTACAGTATTTTAATATTTTGTTGGAAGCCACCCAGAGTGGCTGGGGAAGCCCAGCCAGATGGGCGGGGTATAAATAATAAATTGTTATTGTTATTGTTCCAATGACTGACAGTGGCTCTCAAGCATTTTAGACAGGAATCTTTCCCAGCCTCACCTTCAGATGCCAGGTATTGAACCTGGGACCTTCTGCATGCAAATCAAATTCTCCAACACTGAGCCATGGCCCTTCCTTAGCAAAGGGGCATGTTCATTTTAATTTATTTGTTTGTTTTTGCTAAGTTCCTCTGGAATGCACCATTGACATCCGTGACACAACATTAATAAATATAGTCAGAGCAACAATAACAAACACCCTAACATTGCAACCCCATACATGTCCGTCCGTCTCCCAGAAATAATCCTCATTGAGTTCAGTGGGAACTGCTCCCAACTATATGAGCATAGGGTTGCAGTCTAAAGGAGTGGAATAGCCATTCTCGGGGCATTTCTTTCCGGTCTCTATTTTGTGGGTATGATTCACTTGTGTACCTGCAAATTAAACTTGAGCGGTTTAAGTAGATTTGGCACTCTTGCACAACAAGGAAGCTGATGGGGAAACACGTCGCAAAGTGTGGGATAACAACGAAGACACGCAATGCCATATAACCTCCACCCAAACAAATCAGAATGAACGCTCAATTACCAGAGATACCATATAACTGCCACACATATTTTGTGCAAATAAATCAGGAGGAATGCTCAATAAACAGGTCAAGTGGAAGAGCCCTCTGATACTTTTCCTGCATGCCTTCTTCATATATATATATTCTCTAAGGTGGTGGAAACATTCCCTTCATCCTGATGCTGATACATTTAGGGCCACTTCACACATTGCAGGCACGACTGATTCCCTCCTAAGTGCTCAGTGACCATCACACTTTCCTTTGAACAGGTTAATCCTCAGAATTCTGAATATCCCTAGTATTCACAAAAGCAGCTTGCCAGACTGTGGTTCAGATATCCCCCAGAATAATAGGAGACATGTTTCACTTTATTCTTTCTACCTTGTCTATTGTGTTATTTTGGAATTATTGACTACAAAGACTGCTTGCTTGTGGATACGGTGGAGATGTCAACATTTCCATCCATTGATTGGTAGTGGTAACAACAACAACAACAACAGTAATAATAATGGCAGCAAGTTGGCTGTTTTTGTAAACACTATTATTCTTACACTTGGATTTATGGCTGTTCTTTGATCCTGTATGTGTTTTGGAGAACTGTAAATTAAGTTGTGAATGTTATAGCTCTTATAGGGAGCCAATAAGCTTGATGAGTTGTTTGCTGAATACATGTGGGCGGGTGTTCCTCAACATTAAAGCACCATCATAGCAATTAGACTTGTGATCCACACTCAGTTTCTGTCAATTCACTTGAGGGAAACACAGCATCCGATTGCGACATTCCATATGCTGCTGCTGCTGCTGCTGTATGCGTGTGTGCATGTGCTCATGCTGCTCTCCTGGCAGCTGTGATGAGATTGTGAAAATTTGTCCATCCATGACGGTTACCCCAAGCACACTCTGGTGTTTACTGGATGAACCCATAGTTTTCCCATCAGTGACAAAAAGGAAAACCTATTCATGAATCAGCTCTTGCAGTGAACATGTATCTAATACAAAACATTCCATTCATTGTTTTGGAACAGTGAAGTTTCATAGAGTTCACCTGAATGCTTTTTTCTTTTTTTTAAGGCTGTGGTAATTTAGGTGGGGTGCATAAATGCAAGCAATGGTGCTAGTGCTTGAGAAACCCAAACCCCATAGCTGTGCAGGGTATTGCTTTATAAGTGGAATGCATTGTAGGAATGGAAAAGTGTCATTTCACTTCTAGCAATTCCATTTTCACCTGCATCTGTAAATACTGCTGCAGAAATAAACAGACCCCAGGGTATTTCCAGCTCCTTCAAGCTTAAAGAACTAATTTTCTTCTGGGAAGCCAGACCATCATTTTTGTCTGATTCTTGCATCCCCTTTCTTCTTTCTATTTCAATCTGAGGTTGTCTCTACCACTCGTACAGATCTCTGGATTTCTAGAGCAATGTGACAATCTTCAGATTTCAGAATACTGTCTTGCATAATCTTGTGGTTGTTGTTTAGTCGTTTAGTCGTGTCCAACTCTTCATGACCCCATGGACCAGAGCACGCCAGGCACTCCTGTCTTCCACTGCCTCCCGCAGTTTGGTCAAACTCATGTTATTAGCTTCAAGAACACTGTCCAACCATCTCGTCCTCTGTTGTCCCCTTCTCCTTGTGCATCAAGGATCTTTCCCAACATCAGGGTCTTTTCCAGGGAGTCTTCTCTTCTCATGAGGTGGCCAAAGTATTGGAGCCTAAGCTTCAGGATCTGTCCTTCCAGTGAACACTCAGGGCTGATTTCCTTCAGAATGGAGAGGTTTGATCTTCTTGCAGTCCATGGGACTCTCAAGAGTCTCCTCCAGCACCATAATTCAAAAGCATCAATTCTTCAGTGATCAGCCTTCTTTATGGTCCAGCTCTCACTTCCATACATCACTACTGGAAAAACCATAGGTTTAACTATATGGACCTTTGTTGGCAAGCTGATGTCTCTGCTTTTTAAGATGCTGTCTAGGTTTGTCATCACTTTTCTCCCAAGAAGCAGGCGTCTTTTAATTTCGTGACTGCTGTTACCATCTGCAGTGATCATGGAGCCCAAGAAAGTAAAATCTCTCACTGCTTCCATTTCTTCCCCTTCTATTGGCCAGAAGGTGATGGGACCAGTGGCCATGATCTTAGTTTTTTTGATGTTGAGCTTCAGACCATATTTTGTGCTCTCCGCTTTCATTCTCATTAAGAGGTTCTTTAATTCGTCCTCACTTTCTGCCATCAAAGTTGTGTCATCTGCATATCTGAGGTTGTTGATATTTCTTCTGGCAATCTTAATTCTGGCTTGGGATTCATCCAGTCCAGCCTTTCGCATGATGAATTATGCATATAAGTTAAATAAGCAGGGAGACAATATACAGCCTTGTCGTACTCCTTTCCCAATTTTGAACCAATCAGTTGTTCCATATCCTGTTCTAACTCTAGCTTCTTGTCCCACATAGAGATTTCTCAGGAGACAGATGAGGTGATCAGGCACTCCCATTTCTTTAAGAACTTGCCATAGTTTGCTGTGGTCAACACAGTCAAAGGCTTTTGTGTAGTCAATGAAGCAGAAGTAGATGTTTTGCATAATCTACCCTATTGTTTTTGGCATCCATCTGTCTTGGGAGACAATGAAGGAGTGTGCCTTTGGGAATGAGGTCAAGCTGTTGCAGCACATGCTGTAGCTACAGATAGAGCTCGATGTGGGAGAGACAAGTTTTGTTGCAGCTGGGGCAGATGAAGGCATCCGGTTGTGCTGCTGCAGATGTACCATAGCATGTCTTCTCTCTGTGCTTCGGATCATAGAAACAGATCGGGCATTACAAGCTGGTGCTCAGCTTGCCACACTAGGCAGGCAGATAATGCTCTCAATGAAACAGCTGTTGAGGGTGACAAAACAACTTCAGTCCAGTCCTTGGCCTGCCTCACCCCCCCCACCCCCCGTTGCCTTGACAGAGTCACATATCATTATAGTAGCATGCAAGCCAGATGGAGAAAAGAACTCTACAAAATTGAGGATTCTTAAAAAAAAAAAAACAGCTACGAAAGATTCAAGCAAATATGATCTCTTATAATATCCTCAATGCAAATTCATAATGACCGTCACACTCAGAAGTATGGCATTTTAAGGGAATGAGGAGAGGGCTGCAGGTCAAAGAAGTGCCCAGGGGGGCCCTGACCACTGCCACCACCACCATGGCTGTCTCAACGTGTCTCCCCAAAACACACATCTTGGGGGGGCATGATCTTGTGGGAGCCAAAATGGAACATCCCAGGATCCAGTCGGAAGCTGGGATGGCTTCTGTAATTCCGGAACGTCCCACTTAAAGTGGCATTGTTCTATGTGATGTGTGTGCATGTCAGTTTTCAGTGCTGACAAAAAAACAAAACAAAACACTTCTTTGGAGATATTTCTGCAAGATGCTAATGAGCCCTTTGGCACAGTGGATAAAATACAGGAACCTAGTAAGATGCTTGTGCTGAGAGTCAGACCATTGGTCCATCTGACAGCTCTCTGGCATTCCTGGCAGGGGTCTTTTCCTAGCCCTACCTGAAGATGCTGAGGATTAAATCTGGGACTTCCTGCATAGAATTCTTGTGCCTTTTCCCTGAGTTATGTTAAGAGAGTTCTGGTTTGTTCAGCCCTGAAACCCAACAACTGATATCTCAGCCTAACCTATCACATGGGGTTCTTGTGACAATAAAATGTGGGGGAGAAGATCCCATGAATTCAACCCCAAACTCTTTTGAGGGACAGGCTACAAAGGTAGCAAACATGTTCTGCTAGAAAAAAATGTATAGAATTGTTTTTTCTTCTGAAAAGGAACCATCTGCCTGATTAAGCAGTCATTATGTGAAGATGCTCTCACTAACATCTTTACCTTGAGGTATTCAGTGAAATATTGAACGGAAATTCCTTAAGCATTTGATAATTTTAGCTTCTATTCTGAACTTTCTGAAGAGTTAAAATCTTCCCAGGCATACAGACTTTCTTGTTTGTCAGGGGAGTTCATTTTTATTCTCTTAGAAGTCCCTCCTTTTAAATTTAAAAAATACAGTAGAACATGGGGGGGTGCTTCATTACAGGCAGCACTGCAGGAACTGTGCGATTCAAACACCTTCCTGCTGTTTTATTGAACTTTTTTTGGCCTGAGAGCAGGTAGGTGGCAAGATGGGGGGGGGGTCTTGTTAGTACTTGGGAGAGAATCACAAAACCATTTTCTAAAAATAGAAGATCAATGGTGGGTTGGGCTCAGGGTGGAAGTCAGAATATTTGTTTGTATAGCAATGCTTTGGGAAACAACAATGGTTTGAGCAAAAAAAGAATTGCCACTTAATTTAAATTATTATTTGACTATGATGTGGGTACAACCATCATCAGATTGGGGGAGGCTCTTAAGCTGAAATGATTGTTCTCTCTCTCTCTCTCTCTCTCTCTGTGTGTGTGTGTGTGTGTGTGTGTGCGCGTGTTACTCAACCTGCCTTTGAGAGAATATGAATGGAAACTTGGCTGAAATTTCCAAGAAACCAAAGCTCTTAAGAGGAGTGTGAAGAAACTTGTGAATTTCACAGATGCA